TGGAACAATAATGTTCAGCAACACATTTACAACCAAGAACAGGCAAATTCAAGGTGTGCAAAGTTGAGTAGAGGGATGTTACAAACAGGAAACGTTTAAGGGTAAATCAGTCCCTCCCTTCTTTTTTAAATACTGTACCGTATTATATTGCACACAAGTATATATCTATGTAAAATACATATATTCAGTGCCCCTATGCAAAAATGGTGCATGTCCCATTTGGCCCCTCAAAAGTGAACCCCGGTAGCATCAGTTGATAGATTGCACACGGGCAACTGTAAACGGGAAAGTGTGAACAAAATCTTAATAAACGGTTGTTGTGACACTCAAAGCAAATATGCAATGTGTGTGCACGTACTTGGGCAGATATATAAAATAACAAAAAAGTCCAAACAATACTCGGCACTCTCAGAACACCAAACAATTATTGTGATACTTTTCCGAGTAATGGATAATTCATCAGGCCATTTTTTTTTTTACTTTTTACATTGCCTTCACATGGAAAATGCAGTATAAGAACTATTATTACTTTAGGTCAGGTGCAAGTTACCATGTCACTGTGCAAGTTATAGCTGGTACTTCTACTTCTTCTGAAACAAAAGTCAAATAAATGGACTTATCAAACTTGACTTACCTGGCAGCTAGAATGCTGAGACACCTCATCATCAGCAGGTTGGTTATTCTGCAATTTAGTTGGCAAAGACAAAACAAATAATTGTGATACTGTTCTGAATACTGGATAATAAAGCATTTTCTTTCTGCATTATCTTCACTTGGAAAATACAGTAAAATGCAATCTGTAATTATTTCAAGTTAGGTGAACTTGGAGTTTTAAAGGTACTGTAAAATATTGAGTCCATGATTACAGGTATTTACAAAACGAAATTCTTGACTAAGCTAGACTGTTAGGCACATATGCACATAAACTTAAAAATTCATTAAACTTTTAGACAAGTTGTTCAATTTGCTATGACTCTATAATCAGCCAACATGTCACTGTTCAAGTTATAGCTGGAACTTCATTATGCATGAACAAAAGCCTAACAAATGGACTACGCAAACTTGACTTCTCAGCGGGTGGGTTATTCTGCAATTTAGTAGGCAAAGACACAAACAAATACTTCTGGATTTTTTACCTTTATTATTAATGAACTTGATCAGATTGATATCAGGACATGCCATTCCTTTTGTCACAATAAAACCACCTTTTTCTTGTATCTGTGACTATTTAATAGGAAGTGTGAATTCCTTTTTTTAACCCTTGTACAACTACGCATGAGTGGATCAGAGCCAAAACCTAGCCAGCCGTGGTTGACTGATCAAGGTAACAATAAGAACACATTCCACACACAATACCTTTAGGAGCATCTTCCATGTACCCACACGCACACAATACACATCCCTAGTATCTCCACTCTGGTAAGGTAGATGTTTTGCATATTCATGAGCTTTGGTTTAAATAAGAATGGGAATGAAGTTAAGTGTGAATGAGTGTGAGGAAATGAGATGGTAATTAGTGGAAGGTTGCTGGAATTTGAAGGGAAAGTGAGGTAGTTGGCTCCATGATTCTGAGCTGTGTACATGTACATGTATTTGCGCCATCACTCTGCTCTGCTGCAGCGATTTTTGATACTTTAGGGTAATTCAGGCCCTAAGATCTTTTTTCCAAGCAATCTGGCTTGTGACAATCGCACTGCAGCCAACATTGAATATTTCAGAGTGCTTTTCAAGCAAATGTGTGCTTGAATGTGTTTTTAACTTTGGCGAGAGGGAGACAAGTCAGCAACATCGACCAGCAACCGTAAGTTGAAGATTTAATTGTTTTCATGATTAATTAAAATCAAAAGGAAATATTGTTTTCCCTTCATTAAATTTATTGTTGTGAGATTCACCAGGATTAAGGATTGAACCTAGAATTGTGAATTGTTTGAGATAAAATTGATTGGCTATATATTATGAGGATTGTTGCATACCTGATGTATATATCAGAAGTTGATTTAATTGTGTTAATTTAAGAAAGAGGAAAGTGTAAGTGACATTAGATCGAAGTAAAGAGTAGTTTTCATTTTTAGGATAAGCTTTGAAGAACATTTGATTGGTGATTCGGCCTGTATTTTGTATAGTGACTCAAAATTATTGTGAGAGTTTATTGAAATTATAAATTTACAGACGGCCTAATCTGATCCTATAATTGACGAGGATAGACGCACAAAGGCGACGCCACAGGCACTGAAGTCAAGCCAAAGGGCTGAAGGCAGCTTACAGCAGCAGCATTTCCAGTGTTTTTAACCGTGGAGTGGTTGGCGAGAACTACCAGGAAAAAGTCAGTTGTTTTTATGCCTGCATTTATGTAATTGGGTTTTTTTGATAGTATTGTAATAGTGTATTTTGAATTTGCAACAACGTGAGGACGTGAAACGTCATCAAAAGTAGGATAAACTATTCAATTTAAATTTGTGACTTCGTTCACACAGACCCTGCGGGGAGTGGAGTTACAGAGAACCTAATAATTTGGTAGTATTTGCGGAGAGAAAATTGAAATTTGATTCCACTTATACAGTGAAGATTAAGGAGTTTTGTTTTCATATATTTTGGAGAAGTTTAAATTAATAGTGTGCAGAAGGTTGTGAATCTTGGGTAGATTCAACCGTTCGTAATAGTGTAATATTTATTTTTGTTGGATATTTGACCAGTGTGATTAATCCCGTATTCATTCGTACTTTGGATGTAATTGTCCAACACAGCTGTGATATTTTCTGCTTATATATTTGATTACAATTTACAAGTGGTGCATTTGAGAGAAATTAACTCAAGCTTGAGGTATTGTTGTAAGTAGGAGTGATTTTTAAATTAATAAATTAATTCGGAGAACAGAATGATTTGCGGACATTATTTTATTTACCATTGTCTTTGAACATTTTAAGAGGAAGGTTAACTGGATCTGACACATTTATTTTGTGATTGTCCTTTATATTTTATCCCGTGATTCGGTTATGTATTTTTGGTCCTGTGAAGTTGAAATACTGTTGCTCAAATTAAGGCTTAATATGCATTTCAAAATACTTACTTCCACGGTCGCTGTCCCTGCAACACCCTCCTAAGAAAACCAAATTAAACAAAATTAAAGAATCACAACTAGTTTTTATGCATTATACAGCCAGATAACTATCTGTTTTATACAAAAATATTTAACAGCTGTTTCTTTTTTTCTATTCATTATAAAAACAGGGCCAGATTTTTTGTTCACTGAATGTTTATTTATGCAAAATTATTTGACATAGTCTACTTAATTTAAAACATCAGGCATACATATTGTATATTAACGTTGTACTCCCACCATACCTTAAAGAGGACAGTTGCAAGCAAGCTGCAAGTTCTGATCTTATCCCGCGTGTCCTGCACGGCCACGTAGTACGCATGTTGCGTAGCAGGCTGGTGTGCCACGAGCTCAGCCACTTGATCAGCATCTCTTTGTTTCTGTTCTCCAACAGCCTGCAACACCAGGGTTTATTTTTTAAGAGACAAAGGCTTGAACAATTACACAAGTACTATTTCGCAATCACCATGCAACTAAACTGTAGTTGAAAGATATGCTTCAGAATGAAACAAGTGAGAGTGCACACTAAGCATCTTCTGATTGACCAACCACCGAGTGCAATGTAGAAACCTAAGAAACTTAAGAAACTTGATCTTTTGTGAAAGTGATGATAAAGCCGGTAAAAGACCAAATTATAAGGCTAGCACTTTTAATTGGTTGGAAATATTGCAAAAAGTATGGCATTTCTTAAAGTGTGCATGAACTTTTAAAATTAAAATCATTAAATGCAAAAGATTGCATGCAAACTAAATTGGGATCAAAAAAGATACACTGTAAACATAAGTTAGTCATTTTGACTAATAAAAATTCGTCCTGCCCTACGTCTGAAATGACGAATTAAAATAAGTCAGATAGGCCAGATGACTAACATTACTTAGTCACATATTAGTCAAAATGACTAATATTAATTGGTCTTCTGATTAAATCCAATAAGCGTCTGAAATGACTAAACGTTAGTCATCTGACTTTTGCAGTTAGTCTTTCAATATTATGACTAATCACAATAGTCACGTGACTAATGTTAAATTTCCTGTAAAAACAAAGAACATGAGGCAACCGAATCAAAATCTCTTCAAATTCATGTACATGTACTCTTATTTCAATAGATAAAAGCAACTTCATGTCGACACTTATTTACTTGTAAATTAATGAGGAAAATAAAACCTGTTCGTTTTAAAATGAAATCCTGTTACTACTGCATGGAAAGACTTTTGTTCCACAACAAAGCAGATATTTGCACACTAAGGTAAATGACTGTTATTGTTGACACTTAGTAATGAGTAATTTAGTTGACTGATTAATACATTGGTACTCATAAAAATCATGTTACCCGTGAGATTCTTTATCACTGGCAAGAGTTTTGTTAAAGCTGCTGAAAGACTTAAGTACATGTAAATGGACTGTAAAAGAAGTATTTTTGACACTAAAATTGAATGAGTTAAAGAAAAAAAAAATAAAACATACCGTATGAATGAAATCCTGTTATCAGTGGCAAGAGTTTTGTTCTTGAACAAAGGAGCTGCTTACAGACTTAAGTTAATGGCTTAGTATGATTTAACACTAAATTAAATTTCGTGGGGTAACAAAATTAAAAAATCATAAGTGAAATCCTAATATCACTGGCAAGAGTTTTGTTCTTGAACTATGGAGCTGCTTACAGACTTAAATAAATGGCCAAGTATTTACAAATTTAATTTGCTAAATAAAGCACATCTTCGCTGCAATCATGTTATCACTGGCAAGAGTTTTGTTCTTGAACAAAGGAGCTGCTTACAGACTTAAGCAAATGGCTAAGTATGATTTTTGACACTAACTTAAATTTCGTGGGGTAACAAAATTAAACATCATAAGTGAAATACTAATATCACTGGCAGAGTTTTGTTCTTGAACAATGGAGCTGCTTACAGACTTAAATAAATGACTGAAGTATGATGTTGGCACTTAATACTTGAAATTTAACCAGGTAAATGAAACTTCCTCAGATTTGCAATTACCTGGCTAAATCCGAGCACATTACACGAGATGCTGGTTTAGCCTCTCAAGTAATGTGACTACGGATCGCTCGATTTTAACATTGTCCTGAATATTTAATATCACCTTCTGAAAAAAAGTCAACGTCTTTCTCAAATCTTTATGATAAGCTAGATTGAAGTTATAGAAACACGATAGATAGACAGGCACGGCTGCTAGAAAGGAGGCACAGTGGGCTACTTCCTCCCCATCGACTATGATTAGAAACTCTGTGCACTCGGACAGTGATGGCTCGTCTCCTCTGATTATCGGGGAACCATTGTCCTGCACATTAATACAAAAAAAAAGAGTATCGAAACACATAAAACGATAAACAAATTGTGCAATGTTTGTAGGCAAATTGTGATAGACGATCTTCAAACATTTAGTGATTGCAAAATCTCCACTTTAAAGATTGGCATATGAAAACGTTTCGGACAAAACGTATCACACGTTTTACAAATTCTGCTCTCACCACGAGAAATTTCCCAAACTTTCGCATAAAAACCTACATATCTCTCGTTCCCCTCAGCCTATTTTAGTGGTTCAAACTTTATTTTAACGACAGTTTCATTGATTTTAAGTGTCTGTTAATTTCTTTACAGTTTCAAGTAATTTTAAACCGGACTTTTTCAACTTAAAAACACTCCAGGCGTCCCTTTTACACTGAAAAAAAACTGAGCGTGTTGTTTCCCTGTTTGATTACAAAACGATAACAGCGCCCCCACTTGGCCGATTTCATCGGTTCAAGCAATATAAGCTGGATAAAGGAACCGCCTTTCTTATCATCTAAACTTGCTGCTGATTGGTCACTATTGAGAACCGGACTTTTGACATCCAATACCAATCAAGCTTCGATCATTGCAACAGCTCGCGTCACAATGCGCATAACACATAACGTATGTACATGACCCGTACACGCGCGCAACCGAGCCGTGGAGGGATGAACTTTTACAAGGTAAATTTATGCATCCCTTTTATTTCTTTCCCTGTGTGGCATATATCAGTCGAATAAGGATTTAATATAGATCATTTGGTACGCAAAATGTTTTTTATAGAAAAGAAGCATCAACAGATAAATGAACAAACTAAAGCAACAACATTGTTCCATGATGGAAGTTTGTTGCGATCGTGTGTTAGGTTGATTCCATTTTGCGCGTGGGTAGTTAGGCGTTGTGTGTGTGACCTCACGCGCACAGTACACATGTAAACAAAGCTGGGGCCTGAGCCAGGCCTCGTCTAACTGTTTCTTTCATTTCTTATTTCTTTAACTTCAGCCACTTTAGTGTTTATTATTTTATTATTATAGGCTACTTTAAATGACTGATGTTTTCTCAATCTCACAGCTCGACCATAGATAAATGATTTAGTTCAAAGTCTTTCACATGTCATGGTTTATTAAACTGACAGAAACTCAGTAATTTTCAAGAATCAGTAACAAAACATGAAACTCAGAACCTGAGATGTAGTCCCCAAACTAGCAGGTTTAATTCCAAAAATATTTTTTATTTAATGGACTTGCTTCAAAGTTCAATAGTTAGTGGGTATGGTTAGGACTAAGCCTGGCTTTAAATCTGGTCAGCATTCCTTAAAGTTTACTAACATTTATACTTTCTATGTTGGTCTGTTCAACAGCTCAGGGAGAAAACCAGATTGAATTAATGGGACATTGTAAACAACAACCCGTGCAAGAAATTGAAAGGGATCCAAAGGACGGCTAACAAAAAATCTTCAAGTTGGTCACCGAACACCTTATTTGACATTCATATTTTGGATAGAAGAATAACAGCACACAGCACTGAAGTCCTTGTTCATTACAGAGGTTGGTCAAGCTCCTTCGATGAATGTAAGAATATACGTGACATTGTTCAAAAGCCATCAGTTAAACCAGATGCCATATCACTCTTTCAGACAACCTTAAAGACCTCTATTCAGGAAAAACTTTCAGTTTCCAGAGGGTATGACAGCAGGGTGATTATCCGTATACCCATACAACAAGAGACATTCAGGGTTATTCAACATCACGGTGAAAAAGATGAATGCTCAAGATGCACAAATCGGATGACCAACAAGTATAAGCCTAAAAACCTCGAAAACTTTCTGGACTACGGGTGGTGGTTTCGGATCATCAATAAAAATGGTGACTTTGCCTATATCAAAAGGGGAACAGCTCGATTCTGGATGTATGAGAGATGTGAACTGAAGGCGTTCTCGGAGGAACTGGAACCCACACCCGTGCCACGGGGGTTTGTGTTTGTATTTACTTTTGTGAAGGGCATAGGGAACAAGACTGATATGGAAACTGTCTTGTAAGCTACATGAGTGTAATTGTAAACAATTACTGAATCTTGAAGCATGGCTGTGAAATCTTTTGCACTCTTCAGTTTGATTGCAGTGGCACTTATGCCCCTCCCCCTCATTACTCAACCTGCCAATGAATGGTATGCAACTATTAATAACTTTGCCTTGTATGAACTTTTTAGAGATGTGCAAACCCCACTTAGAGAAAAGGATGATTTTACCTCTGTTTTGCAATATATATGCACAGAGAATGATGTTGACTTTTTACAGTTGCATGTTAAACCAATACTTTAAACGCTTAAATCCAAAGCAAAACACATGATCAGTCAAGCAAAGCCAAAAATTTCTGCTGGTGGAAAAACAAGAGACAAACTCTTGAGGAAGTGGAAAGCAAGTTCTTATAAACTGAGACTCAAGTTCAAAAGCCCTGGTGCTTTGAAATCAAAACTTGAGAGAGACCTCAAGCTGCAAATAGCTTGCAGAGTTGAAGTAGAAAAAGAACTAGAAACGTTGAGAAAAAGTACAAACAAGACTAAGAAGGGCACAAGAGACAAACTTTGCAATAGGGCAAAAGTCAGTAAACGTACGCAACGTAGGCAGAAATTGAAAGGCTGCAAACAAATTGTGCAATCACTTCCACTCATTGTTTCTGATGAGGAGGATGAGCCTGTCAAGATTTCCATAGAAACAAAAGGACATAAAATGATCAGTATTACCTTCTCAGGTAAATGTACGATCCTCCCAGATCTCTCCGTTCATCTTCCCAGGGATTCCTCACAACAACTATACCAAGGACCAAATCATACGGCTCAAAGGCATTCTCACACGTCTCTCCCAAGTTGAGTCGCTCAAAGAAGCACTAAGCCCCCTGATTCGTGAGGTATCTGCAATAGAAACCATTACAATTCAAGGCAGAGTATATGATGTTGCTTTTTTCGTTGGTGGAGATTTAAAGTTCTTGAATGTTGTGACGGGGTTAGATGCATGTAGTGCTACATACAGTTGCTTGTGGTTTCATTGCTCGAAGGTGGACAGATGGGATCATAATAAGCATTGGTCAATGACAAATCCTGACCAAGGGGCACGCACAGTAGAATTGATCACAGAGTGCGCAAAGCGGAAAAAGAACAAATACAACTGTTCCAATCCGCCCCTGTTTAGCACTGTTCCTTTGATTCGTATTGTTCCTGACACACTTCACATGTTTCTGAGAATAGCAGATCAGCTTGTTGGGCACTTAATAGCAACACTTAGGGAGTATGACAATGAAGTAATATCATCACGACAAGTTGTACCAGGACCAAACATTGCCAAGTTTGAAACTTTTGTTCAGTCTCTGAACATGGAATGGCGGTTCAGTATCGATAGAGCTGGTAAACTGACCTACAGGGATTTCATTGGACCCGAACATTGGCGAATTCTCAATTCAATAGATTTGAATCACTTCTTGGCTGGTACATCATTCACTAAACTTCCAAGCTTAAAGGAATTGTGGAGTAGATTCAGGATTTTGATAAGTGAACTATCAAACTTGTCCAATCAAAATGAAGTTGCTGTAAGTAAGTATGAAGAATGCAAGGTGTTGGCTAGAATTGTTTTGTAAAATATACCCCACCAAGGATGTCACTCCTTACATGCATATTTTAGCCAATCATACTGCAGAATCAATCAGATTGAATGGTAACATTTCCAACTTCAGTCAGCAGGGTCTCGAGAAGCTGAATGATTATGTCACAGGTTGGTTTTTTCGAGGCACTAATCACAAGAAGCATGCCCTGCAACAAATCATGGAGAAACAAAATCGCATTGAAGACCTTGAAATGGAATGCAAACGTGCCATGAAATTCAGTGTAACATGCCGTTCATGTGGCACTCATGGACACAACAAACGCACTTGTTTTCGAGCTAGTAATGGCAGTTTAAATAAGTGATGGAGATTTGAGTCAAGCAGTGCAGCAGAAGCCAAAATTCTACTTAGAGATTCCACTGTATGAAATTGCATTCAAGAGTATGTAAACATGTAGGTGATTGTCACACTGGAGTCAACTTATGACAGCATCTTATAATTGTAATTAATTCAAACCTTGTCAGCCATTAATAAATTGTCATGTTCCTATATGGATAAACTATGAACAACTGCAAGTGTTTAATATTTCAATTCAGAAAGTGTTTGACATGTTTAATTAATGAAACAATGTGTTTTATTGTAATAAGTTGAAGTTAAATTGTCAGTAATAGTCATTTCATCAATATTTGTACTCATCAGATTCCTATGTTTAAATAATACTGTACTTATTCAGCATGCAAGGTTAATCACCAAGTGCTGTTATAAATAATTTGATAGCATTAACAACATGATTTATTGTTACTACTTTGAATTGAAAATGTTAGTTTGTCGTTGGGAACTCTTTCAGTTGACTTTACTATTGAAATTGTTGATTAATTTGAAAAGTTTGAATGAAATTGTTATTAAATATTGATGTGATGACATATTAGTTTGTACTACATGTATATTGAAATAAAGCTACATGTATCATGAAATAAAGTTCAAGTGCTCAGTTATTCTGATTTGTAACCATTGACTCTTGCATCATGGATGTTACCTCAATAAGCTTTAGTAACGCCATGGAGGCCTGAGGAAACACTAACAGTATTTTTTTTTGGGGGGGGGGGGGGTCCAACAGTCGAAAGCCAGCTGCACACGTACGTACACAAATCAAGTTAATGAGTAAATACAAACTTTAAAAATAAACATTAAATTTGAATATACATGTAACTATATCCGAAGAGAATAGGAAAGCAGAGACCAACAAGCAGGCCCGGATAAACTGAAGCCCCCAAACCTGGAGAGTTTATAGGAGACACACACTTGTGAAGAATTTTGGTGGCACACGGCACCCGCGCAGTTTTGAACTACATACAGCAACCCCGCGTTATGAATGGTACGGTCTGCGTACGCGCTGACCTACTTTCACGGCTGCAGCGCTAGCGCCCTATCCTGCGTTGACGCGCTGTCCAAAAACGGTCTAAACTTTTCCATATGGGAAAGAGGTCACACACACAAATTTGTTTGAATTAACAGACTGCAAAAACTATGGACTCTGTGCGCAAGTATGCCCTCATTGGTTCTTGGTCATAATTGAAGTGGAAAGGGAAAGTGTCTTGTATTGAATGATTCTCAGTTGCTCATTGGAGTTTGAAGGTTGGAAAGATTGCGTCTAGATGAATTGCCACTACCTTAAAGGAATATATTTATTTTACAGTACAATGTATTATGTCATCACTCTACTTACACTCTCTTGAGCAAGTACCAACATGCTGGTAGCCTTTTCTCTCAGAGGCCCTGGAATTCCAAGGATGGCTGCGACAGAAGATGCTTCTAAAACATTATAACAAAAAGTACAATTAATACATTTTAAATCAAGAAAACATCACAATAAACACTGGTGCATTGTTCACCATTTCTTTAATGTTGTATATTGTACACTATAAAAACACAAACACCGAAATTCCAACCTAAAAAACAGTAAACCTTCAAAGCTCTCTTCAATATTGCTTTCTGGCAACTCCAATTTGAACATCTATCCTCATCAAATTTTCACTTCAATGGACACTTGCTTGCAAGTATGCAAACTAATAAGTTCCTTGTATACAAAGGTGCAGTGAGCAATTTTGATTAATTAGTGTTCTGCCTTTTAACAAACTGATTGTGCTGAAATGTGGCACCACTTATACATGTATTTCTCAGAATTAGGTGTTCTTAGAAAAGGCTTTTGGATGAATTAATGTACAGTAGCTTTAACAAGGTTTTTCATCCTAAACCAAGCTGACCTTTTCTAGCAGTCTCATCCCGTTGAGCAGAGATGTCATCCACAGCCTGCTGATGTACATCATCCAATTTCTTGGCTCACCCACACAACTTTAGGATGGCACTCCCATACTTGTCCATGCCTTCAGCTCTTTTAGACCTTGACCTGTCCCCTGCAGTCTCTTGAACTCAGACAACATCTATTATTAAAAGAAGAAAAAAAAAGGAAAAGGGAAAAAGAAAAACAAGTGACGTTTTGAAATTGATATTTCCTGGTAGAGCGAAATACTACATTGTATAAAGCAATATTCTCCACTGCTTTTACTAGTGCCAACAAATCAATTTGTGTTTCAAAAATCGTTGACCTCAGGCAATGCACATGCGAAATACATTTGTACATGTAAATGTACAAATAATTTGACCGTGGCAATTTAGACAGGTACAGAATCATTGTAAAATACTGTTTTATTTCACCTTCATTATGAACCTCTGGAGTACATGTGTTTCCTAATTTTGTGTGTAAAAATAAGTCATCACTGTTTATCAAACGGACTAAAGAAAAATACTCTGAACAAACCTCATTCTCGTCAAAAAGCCATGGGTATGCATTCTTGAGTTCTGGAATGGACACCGATTCTCGGGTTATTAGACTTCGGCGATCTGCCAGAGTAGCAGCCATGGCTATGGCTACACGTGTGGTCGTAGTTAAGGTTTTTTGTGTGTGATGCTCTAACTTCATCCACTCAGTGTGAACCTTGATGGATGCATCATCCTCAGATACTGCCCTCTTTGGTCGGTAGTTCACCATGCCCCATTGCGGCGGACCATTTTGGTGCTGCAGTTGTATGCGACTCTCGGCCGGTTGCTTCCGTTTCCTAGAAATGACCATATCTACGTCCTTGTCCTCCCTCTTTCTTGCGTTGGCGAACTTATATTGGATCCGATTTTTCCAAAGCGTCTGATAGAAAAACATATTCAAGAATTTCACTAGGGGTTTCTCTCAAACAGATAATTTTGTTTTGATTTAGTTCAGTTGTTACCCCATATTCAATTTATAACAATAATTATCAAAAAATAACTATCAAAATAATTTTCAAGAAGGTAACTTTAATTTAACAAATAAAATGTTTTGCCTAAAGCAAAATTCATTTCTTTGGACTGACCATCAAATAACTCCAATGACACTACACTTTTATCAGTATACATGTATCAGTCAAGACCACCCAAAAGTACCTCATACCTCACAGTATATTTGTTGAGGTGGATTTTTCTGCGTCACAACTGAAGGGATGTGAAATTATGAGATTGCAAAAAATATCGCAAACAAATGTAAGCAATGGTGTTACCTTAGTATTCTCCATGGTCATGTTCTGGTGATGGCATAGTTTTGGGAGCTGCTCAAAAAGAAGACCAATAATCTGCTCATACTGCTTCGATGTAGGATAGCTATAATGGAAATTAACAATTAAGAAAAGATCGTAAGACAAAGATGAATTTGTTTACTATAAAATTAGTATGTGCTTTGTAGCAGAGAAATGGAAAAAATAAAGGTTGGGACATTCCTTTGCAATGTAAAAATTAAAATAGAGATTTTGATCCTAAGAGATTCAGAAGGTTGTATGAGGAAACCAGGATTTAAATTCTCTGTAAAGACAGTTTAGATATATACATGTGTATTTTTTTTTGTACTTACAAAGTGAATCTTGTGACACTGTTGTATATGCATTCAAGCAGTGCTGACCTTTGACCTTCCTTCAAAGTGTGACCTTCATGAAGCTTCTCCTGAAGAGATGTTGAGAAATGTGGTAGTCGATAAGTGGAGATCCAGCTTGAAGACGGGATCCTTGCTGCATGTGCGTGTAGCTGAGAGGCTGAGCTCAACGAGGACGTTATACCAGAACTTGTGGAACAAGAAGCCACATCATCAGAAATCACACTTTCAAAATTGGCATTAGGCCTGTTTAGAGATAAATAATAAAAACAAGATGTTCTAGGTCAGGTTATGCCAAAAATCAATATCAATGATATTACAATTTTGTGTCAGGTGATGTAAATTTCAAGTACGGTTTTGCCCTTTATATGTATGTCAAGAATCGTTCTAACAGCCACTCCAATTTTACCTAGCTACATGTTTGTGAAAACTTCATGCTACTAGTGTATTCTTGGGTAGTGAAAAATTATGACACTTCCTACGTCGCAGCTCTAGGGCTGTACCAAAATATTCAAACATTACAGCAACTAAATATTCAAATAACACTAATTCAATTCAAATCTATGAAAAAATTCAGTGTTCTTGAGTCCTTGGCAGCTCAGGCGTATCACCTTAGTGATATGTCAAAAGCTAATGAAAAATTATTAACAATTCACAGTGTGAGGAAACATACCCGGATGTGCAAAGAAGCACACTGGAATTCTGTGTTGTTTGCAGTTAACATGGCTCACGCTCCTCTTCTAAAACCTCCTTCACCATAATTTTGCTATTTGTCTCGACCTCATCCTCTTCTTCCAAGTCAATCCATTCTTCAAATCCCTTATCCCAAACCTGCAGTGTGGCCTGCGATATGTTGAAAACACTGAGTGCTTTTTCCCGCAATGCCTCAGCTGTCACATCTGCTCCATCCTCTATTTTGAATTCTACTTTTTTTTTTACTGCTTCCATGCAGCAACAAGTATCTGCAGTTAAAAAAAGATGTGATTTGTACCAGATGGCTCAGGGGATTTCAGACATTGGATATTTTTTTCCTCTGAATTGACTATTAATTCCAAGTTTTCAAAAAATTGTTAAACAAAGCATCTTATGAACATTAACCCTCCTGTGCAAACATGCATTCTGTGCCAAATTTTACAAAATTAAACGCAAAGTCACATCCTTAAACTAGCCTGTGTTACATGTAGGTGTAAATAAGGCACGACAGGAGAAAGGATTGAGGTTTTGAATGTGACTGCTCAGACAGCAGCAGGGTTAATCAGTAGAAATATTGAGTTGGTTTTGTGCTTAAGATAATGATGGTGATTCAAAAGAGGCAAGTGAAAGCAGACTAACGGCAGAACACGTGATGTCGTGTCACAACAACGATGCCTTGGCAGGTGTAGTACACACCAAGAGGATAGTGATAAAAAAGATCAGAGACTTTGTTTAAAACAAATGTATCAGTCATCGTCGAAGCATTTGCATGAAGATGATGAATATATCTTGTAGTGACAGCTAGGTTACATACAAGAAACAAGTCTCCCCCATTCAAACAACAAAGATGTACAATTGCAAATTGAGTAAATCCTTCTGGGCTTATGCCAACAACAACCGCACATCCTTGGTTATACCAGGTGCCACCGTATTGGGCCCTAGTAACAGTATAGACCGCTTCTTTGTTTCCAAGCAGAGGCTGCAATAAATCTTGAACAGCTTTGAGCAGTAGTCTAGTTGGGGTTAGCTTCCCATTTGCATGCTCAACTGTATCTTGGACAAGAAAACACTATTTTTCTCTGATCCAGGCTTGATAATACTCATGTCTTGTTGCAAGTGTTTTACACATGTTCTGTCTGTTTTTGGTCCGATAAGATAGCTCTTTAAAAATACATGTGCTTTCCTTCAAAGCGCAGTGTCCAACAATGAACAAGGGGCCCAAACTGCAGCATCAATCTTGGGTAGTGTACAACATAATGAAACTTTGGTTTCATTGTTTCTTCTGGAAACTCTGTGAAATACTTGATTAAAATGATTCTATTAAATCAGCAAGAAATTTGCAGAGAGGTGCATCAATGTGAGGCGAAGTGCTTACCTGCACAACATCTTGAAGAACCAAAAGTACTTCCCAAACGCTATCACCAACTGGAATTTTGTAACCAACAAGGAGTGGCAAGAGCCTCAATAAACACCACGCTTGAACAGCCTTTTGTTTTACTTTAAACTTTCCCGGTTGGTTTGCCATTTTGGATGGCTTGTTTACTTTGTCGGTTCCCTCATATGGAAAGTTCTCTATTTGATCATTCAGAAAGTCCAGTGTGAAAAAAAACCTTCACGAACACAATAAAGGATCACTAATTCGAGTACATGTGGAATTATTCCTTCCAAGAAATCATGTGCAATATCAGGTGGAAGTCCATTCACAACATGATAATACTGAAGCTTGTTGAGAGGGCTTGGCTTTTTAATGCCATAAACTGTTCCCATCTCCGGGAGTTGCTCAGCCACATTTGCCTGCTGATTGTAGAAATCTTTAGTCCTGGGCTGAAGTGTGTCCCGGAAGTGGCTCTTCAAGGCTTGCTTCATCACAGAACAAAATCTGCAAAGGCGTTGAACATTGAAACCTTCTTGATAGCCACCAATTCCGTGAGCACCTAGGTTATCTGCCACTACCATAGAAACTGAACCTTTGAAATTATGTACAGTGCCGTCTTTATTGATGTTGATGCCGTCACGTTCAAGAATCTTCATGTCTGCAATAAAGGGAGCTAATACAGCTCCCATCCCTACCTCTTTCAGGACTTTATAAGGGCACAAGATAGCCAGTTGGATAGAATAGAGTTTTGAGCGGAGGTTGGGTGAAATATTTCCAAGGCAGAAACAGAAGGCTGAAAACTTGAGTTGTTTTACTTTGTTTCCAATTGGATTGGCAACAGTGAATTCATCGTTATAAAACTGTACCTGAAGAGTTGGATTGTGTTGTGAAAAGAGAGGATTGCATTCAAAGAGTGAACCATCACAATAGTCACGTAAGAAGCCATTCTGTCGGTGGTCTTGGACAACTTCAGCAAAAACATCATCTCTTCCTAGTAAAGCATGTAAAGATTCTAAAACACTAACATATTGCATGCTTTTGGGTTTTCCATTACCCTTTCGTCCCAATACAAACTCTACTGGCTCAACAAAACTTGAAAGCTGTTTTACAAAGGAATTAACGTGACGTGTGCTACTGAAATGCTCAAATGATCTTTCTAATTCTGATTGTTGAAAAAGTGCATCCAATGCAGCTGCCTCTGGATAACCATTTAATGTTTGTTTGACTTGCTCGTGCAGTTGATTTCGTGCCAATCCAAGCAAATCATGAACTTCATCAGCAACATATTTACATGTTTGGTCACAAACCTTGAACTTTTCTCTCAGGCCAAGAATAAAGGTGGTTGTATCACGGTCTACATCAACTG